AAAGCCATAAAGTCAGGTGTGACTCAATTCACTTAATAACTGTCTTGATCCCAATGGTGTGCATAAGTCAAGGACTGCCTGTGTTGGTAGAACAAAGCTGAGAAATGTTCTACGAACACTTGGAAAACATCCTATTACTAATTGAACCCAACCCGCCATAAGTGAAATAAAAACAGCCAGATTTCTTTTCCTTCCAAGACGCCTTGCAAGCAAATGTAGCTAAGTAATAACAACAACAACAACAACAACAATAATAATGATGATGATGATGATGATGATGCCTGGAGATAGCAGAATAGAAAAGAAAGAACTGGAGAAGATAACCTACAAATAGAAATAGAAATAGAAAGACTGTGGCAAAAGCAAGCAAGGGTAGTACCAATAGTCATAGGCTCCTTGGGTGCAATCCCAAAACAACTGGAGCACCACTTGAACACAATTGGCATTGACAAATTCGCTATTAGTCAGTTGCAAAAGGCGGCCTTAGTAGGAACTGCTTCCATCCTGCGACGATATCTGTAATACCATCAAACATCCACATCTGCCTATCCCAGGTCCTGGGTAAGGACTCGATAGGTAGACAAAATGCCAAATCCAGTCTGAACATCTGGCTGACTGTGCAATGATCGATAATAATAATAATAATAATAATAATAATAATAATAATAATAACAACAACAACAATAATAAAGTTGGAAGGGACCTTGGAGGTCATCTAGTCCACCCCCTGCTCAGGCAGGAAACCCTATACCATTTCAGACAAATGGCTGTCCAATCTTTCCTTAAAAACTTCCAGTGTTGGAGCATTCACCGCTTCTGGAGGCGGGTTGTTCCACTGGTTAATTGTTCTCACTGTCAGGAAGTTTCTCCTTTGTTCTAGGTTGCTTCTCTCCTTTCTTTTCTCCTCCGCTGACCAAATTATCCAAACAAAGTTTACTTTACAGATCCTCAGAACTGGCTCCTTCAGTTCAGACGCTATATTATTAAACAATCGCAGGTGGATCCATTCTTTACCGACTCAAGGGAGTAAGCCCAGTTTGACGATGTAAATAAAAAAAACTATACCAATTACAGCCCTGGATGAACCTCTAGCCCAATCTTTGGTATCCAAGGTAGCAGGCTGAAATACAACAGGTGCCAGGTTTTCCCGAACCCAGCGCCTGGAAAAATAGTGGCACGTCTCTATGAGGTTTTTTTAAAACAGAATTGGAGTTTAAGATTTAAGAGCTGGAACAGGATTTCAAGGGTTGATCTGTAGGATTGAGCAAGGTGGATCACAATAATGTGATCTTGGGCTACCATAAACTAACCTGGTTCTCCTCCTCCGACTGCAGGTAAGAGATGAGACGGCACCTGAGAAGACTTACCTGTGAGGAAGGCCAAGGTAAGGAAAATTGCAATAGATTTCATGGTGGGATCAGCCCGGGTTCTTGTAAAGAATGGGAGAAAGAACTGCCTGCCCGAGAATCCAGGATCTATTTATGGATTGTAGGGCGAGGTGACCGTCCTGCGCTGTAATTTATTAACCTGGGCTCCAGAGTCGTGGGACAACCACCTTTCTTTCGAGCCATTTCCCTACCTCTTGCTCGCCAGATCGTGGTTTCGTAACCCGAGATGTATAAACACACATACCGTCATTAATTCTCGGAAAAAACAGCCACACGAAGCCTTCGATATCGAAAGAGTTTTGTTTCAGTTTTTTAAAAACCCCTCTAAGACTGCACATCTTATGCTACTGGTGGAAGAGAATCTCTGTAGCTCAGGGCTGCCTTGTGGGGGTCCTGGGTGTTCTCTGAGCATGGTGGTTTCCTTGGAGACATTTCATGACCCAACTAGCCAACATCATCGGTGCTAGAAGGGAGAGGGGTTGGTGGAAAGGAGAAGGAGGAGGAGGAAGAGGAGGAGAAAGGACGACGACAAGGAGGACTGTGGGGTCCTTGGTTCTTTCTGAGCTTGATTGTGATCCGACAGATTTTTCATGACCCAACTAGGCAACACCATCAACTGCTAGAAGGGAGTGGGGTTTGCAGAGAGGAGGAGGAGGACGACTGTGGGGTCCTTGGTGTTCTCTGAGCTTGGTGGTTTCCTTGGAGACATTTCATGACCCAACTAGGTAACATCATCAGTGCTAGAAGGGAGAGGGGTTGGTGGAAAGGAGGAGAAGGAGGAGGACTGTGCAGTCCTTGGTACTCTCTGAGCTTATTTTCTTGCAGACCTTTCATGACCCAACTAGGTAATGTCATCAGTGCCGGAAGGGAAAGGGGTGTGCCCTCATTTTATACACTAGGATAGAAGCAAACCCCATTCTCTCCTAGCACTGATGAAGTCCATCCATCTTAAAATGGCCAGGATTGAAGAACACTCTCCTAGAGAATACGCAACCTAAGGACCTGAATTGTTTTTAACCTTGATGGAGACTGTCCTCACCACCCCGCAACAATGGGGTCAAGTCTGATGCATCCACACAACCAGCGTACTCCATGGTGAAACTCCCTCAGAGAGGCAAAAAAAACCCCAAATGGTGGTTAAGCCAAGGACTGCCTATAAAAGGTGTATCGGTGCCACCCAGACCTTGCTAAATCCAGTTTAGGGACAGGTAGTCCTCAACTTACAAGTTTTGCTTAGTGACCTTTGGACTGATCTAGAAATGTGCTCTAACAGAATAACCGTGTCGGGAGGGACCTCAGAGGTCATCTAGACCAGGGCTTTTCAACCTTTTCACCCATTGTACCACTTTTAGGATATGGCAACATCCGAGGACCACCAGTTGCCTAGCAAGGTGTCAAAAACTTGACCAAAAAAAAAAGGAAAAAAGTGATAAAGTACAGGTAGTCCTCATCTTACAACAGTTTGCTTAATGACTGTTCGAAGTTACAATGGCACTGAAAAAAGTGCCCCCCAAGCCACAGCCAAGCAAGACACCTGCCTGCCCACCCGGTGGCACTCTTCCTCCTGTCTGAGGTTTTCATTGTTGTGAGCATTTCTGTTGAGGATTGGCAGTGGGGGTGGGGTGGGGGGGTGTTTGGTTTTTATTCCCCCCGTCTGCTGGGTGGTTGCAGCAGGTTTTGGTCACTTCCCATGACCCTGGGACACTGTGACCGTCATAAATATGAATCAGTTGCCAAGCATCTGAATGTAAATCACAAGACCTTGGAGATGCTGCAACATTCCAGCTGATCGGTGCTTCTTCTGAGCTCAGCAGAAGCACCAGGATCAGCGCCGAGCTCCAGCTGGAGCCTGGCGCTTCCACTGAGCCCTGACAGCCCCGATCAGCTGGAAAGCAGAAATGATCCTGGCGCTTCCGCTGAGCCCTGACAGCCCTGCAGCTCCAGCCGTCTCTTGCTCAGGCTTGTGCGGTGCTGCCACCGGTTCAGCTCATTCCCCTCCCCTGCTACCACTTTTCTAGGATGGTCGCGTACCACCTGCCAGATGCCAATGTACCACAGGTGGTACCGTACCACTGGTTGAAAAGCCTTGTTCTAGTCCGACTGCCTGCTCAAGCAGGAAACCCCATATACCATTTCAGTCCAATCTCTTCTTAAAAACCTCCAGTGTTGGAGCACCCACAACTTCTGGAGGCAAGTTGTTCCACTGATGAATTGTTCTCACAATTGAGGTTGCTTCTCTCTAGAGATGCTTTACCAGGTGGTTACTCCAATCCACTGGTTAGTAATATAATTAGTCCCGTTTTCGGGACGCCTGACCCATCAATCAATCAGATTAACTCGCCCTCATACAACACGTTTTTGCGGTGTTGTGGCCTCAAGGACTGAAGCCAACCCTGTCTTTGCAGGCTTTGTCGAACGTAGACCCTGATGTGTACATAGACATTGTACATTGACCATACAAGAATTCCGAGCAACTGGGATTTTGACCGTTTTGTCTTCTGGACCAAGTTGACTTCGTTTACTTAGCTTATCACCTGCCTGGCTTCCCTCTCAGGTTTCACATTGTACCTTTGAAGTTGAGGACCAAACGTTTTGAAAATTGGAGTGGAAGAGTCATATTACTTCATGAGTCCATCAATGAAATCATAGATTATCACCTTTGGAACACAGACAGATGACCTGCTTGAAAAATAGCCTTTCTAATCCAGTTTCAACTGACTGTTTCCTCCTAACCATTGACACAATCTAAGCCAGAAATTAAACCAGGATCTGTTTTCAGTGGGATAGGAATACAAGTCAACCTAAGGTTGGCCCATAACCCACAATCTTGCTTCTCCCTTCCTACTGTTCTCTCAGCCAAATCTGAATAGGGACTTTTGGGAGGGGGCATAGCATAGGACTTGGGGTCTTCTTTCATCCAAACCCTTCTCCTTAGCCCAGGGGTAGGCAACCTTGGCCCTTTCATGGTTCCTGGATTTCAATTCCCAGAATTCCTGAGCCAGCCATGCTGAGGGGAAAGGGAGGTTTCCAAACTGAGCCCTGCTGGCTCAGGAATTCTGGGAGTTGAAGTCCACCCATCTCCGAGTGGCCAAGGTTGAGAAATACAGGCCTAGGCCAGGGGTAGGCCACCTTGGCTTTTATGACTCGTGGACTTCAACTCCCAGAATTCCTGAGCCAGCCATGCTGAGGGGAAAGGGAGAGGTTTCCAAGCTGAGCCATGCTGGCTCAGGAATTCTGGGAGTTAAAGTCTGCCAGTCATAAAAGAGGCAAAGTTGCCTACCCCTGCCTTAGCCCAAAGGTGCTTTTTCCCCCAAAAGCAACTGGACTTGTTTTTTCCTTGAAGACATTTCGCTTCTCATCCCAAGAAGCTTCTTCCGTTCTGACGGAAGACGTCAGGTCAGTCAGAAACTCGGCCAGAACGGAAGAAGCTTCTTGGGATGAGAAGCGAGAAGTCTTCAAGGAAAAACCAAAAACCAAAAAAAGCCCAGTGGCCTTTGGAAAAAGCACCTTTGGGGGGGGGGGACAACCGTGCCCTGGATGACCTCCTTCAGCCCCTCAACTGCCACCGAGGGTCCCCGAAAATCAAAACGAGGGGAAAGCCCAGACGGGAAGCATTTGTAGATGGGTTTTATTGAAACCAGATATTCTGAACTTTGCAGAGGAAGGCGACTCCTCTGTTGAGGTTGCTTCGTTTTCCATTTGTAAAAGATCCTTTTTTTTGCCCCCCCTCCCCTCCCATAACTTATAAACATGATTTACACACAGTCTCTGGTGGCAGGAGGGAAGGGCAGTGCAGATATTCCCCCACAAATTCTGTATGACCCCGGAGTGATAGCAAGCAAGGCAGCTCTCTCTGTGTGTGTCTCTCTCGCTCTGATGAAGCTTTTTCATGCACAGGACAGGCGGCTTCCATTGAAGAGGGGTGTCTGCATTGGGGGGAGCCAGGGGGGGAGATCAGAGAAACACTGTTTTCGTACATCCAGCCAATGCAGAGAGAGCTTCCCGCCCAACTTGAGGGCAGAGGCGGCAAGGAGGGGAAGGGCGGGTGCAACTGGAGGCCCCCGAAACGGGCCCGAGAAAACCACGATTGCCGTTGTGCCTTTTGGGCAAACCCAAACCAAACGAAAAAAAAATAAAAATAAAAATAAATCTCCCCAATAAACAAAGACGAGGGTAGCTCCTGCGTTACGAGAAGAGAGGCTTTTTCCCCGCCCCCCCTAAAGGCAGGTCCTATGGATTTTTTTCTCTTTGGAAAACCGTCAAAGTTGGCTCTCTCCTTCCCGGATGGAGGGAAAAATGGAAGGAAATGGGGGGCAAAGGGGGGGGTGATGGGTGGGAGAGTGGGGGGGGGGCAAGCTCCCTCAATTCCAGACCTCTGGCAGCCCCAATCTCTGGAAAAAGGAAGCCTTTCCCCGTTCCCAAGGCTAGAGTGCCCCCTGGTGGCAGGAGGCAGCGAAGCAGTGCCCCGTGGATCTCGTGAACCGTATTTTGGGCCAAAGGTCTGGCGTCCCCAACCTACAGGTCCACCACCAGCTGCTCCTTGTGGCTGGGAGGCAGAAGGCCCCCTTCCTGCTCTCCACCCCCAGACGACCCCTGGGTCACCGAGGGCCAGACAAGGAGGAAAACGGGGCCATGAACTGCACTGAAGGTGGTGAGGAGAAGGAGGTGGAGGAGGAGGAGAAGGAAGGAGGAGAGGGGAAGCTTAACCGATGGTGAGGCCGAAGCCGCACTGGAATTTGTTCTTGCGGTGATTGAGGAAGGCGCCCATGGCGAGCGTCAGGGGCAACGGGATCAGCTTCTTTTCCAAGGCGGCCCCCACGATCCAGTTGCTGTCAATGGAGCCTGGGGAGGGAGGGGAATCAGAGTCAAAAAATGCGGGGAGACGGCCCCTCGCAAAAGGAATAAATAAATAATTACAGAAATAATTGCAATAAGTGTATAATTATATAATAATAAAGGCAGGAGATAGGGAGACTAGATTAGATAGGCAGACAGAGGGATAAATACATAAATTGATAAATGGATAGATGGATGGATGAATAGGTAGATAGGCAGGCTGACAGAGATAGATGGATAAGACAGAAAAACAGAGAGAGAGATAGATAGATAGACAGATAGATAGATAGACAGACAGACAGATGGATATATAGTCAGGTAAACAGGAGACAGACAGAGATGGATAGACAGAGATAAATGGGTAGATGGATGCATAATTAGATAGGTAGGTAGGTAGACAGAGACAGAGAGATGGATATATAGTCAGGTAAACAGGAGACAGATGGATAGACAGAAAGAGATAAATGGATAGATGGATGCATAATTAGATAGGTAGGTAGGTAGACAGAGACAGACAGACAGAAATAGAGAGACAGACAGACACAGAGATGGGTATATAGTCAGGTAAACAGGAGACAGACAGATGGATAGACAGAAAGAGATAAATGGATAAATGGATGCATAGATAGCTAGATAGATAGGCAGACAGAAAGAAAGAGATAGATAGACGGGTAGGTATATAGATGGATTAGATAGCTAGACAGACAGACATAGATGCATGGATAGATAGATATAGATGGATGGAGGCATAAATGGATAGGCAGATAGATAAGAGACAGACAGAGATGGACAGACAAAAAGAGATAAATCGATTGATCCACTTGTCCAAATTTGAGCACTCCCTATTAGGGCCCAACCCAGCACAGGTAGGCTTCAACCTTACGTCCACAACTGGGAGTAGACTTTCTGTGGGGCTGTTAAATGAGTCGGCTTCTGATTTTACGACCTTTTTTTTAGCCAGGCGTTGTTAAGTCGGTGCCGTTAAGCGAATCGCGCAGCCAGGAAATGAAGGCAGCGCCACCCACCCCGCTGACTCTGCTCTCGTCTGAGCCCAACTTTAAAGGTCGGAACGGGCCAGCCAGGTGACCGTTGGATGCTGCAACTGTTGCAAAGGTGAGCCGGTTGCCAACGCCCAGATTGTGACCGTGTGAACCGCAACAGTCCTAAATGCGAGGACTGGGCCGTCGTAACTTTGAAAGTCACTAAACGAACTGTCGTTAAGTCGAGGACCGCCTGCAGGCATCGTTTTGTTTCGCTTTACTGAAGAAACGACCCCCTTAGCCCACCCCCAAGAAATAAACTCAAGAGCGCCATACCTTTGAAAAGGAGGTTGGCTTTGGGGAGATCCAGCTGGTATCCAAAGGTTGCGCTGGTGTCTTGCATGCGGGTGCTGGCTTCGAATTCCACCCCCACCTGCAACTGGAGAGCCAGACCAGAGAGAAGGCATGAGAGGCAGGCCCCATGGCACCTGGGCCCCACTGCAGCCCTGCCCCACCGTGTCGTCTCCCAAAGGCAACTCACCTGGTCGCTGGCCTTGTGGTAATACGTGGCGTGTGCGCCAGCCTGTCCTATTGTCAGCGTCGCAATCCAGTTTGGTGCTGTGGAGGATGGAAAAGGGAGACGGTCTTCCTTGGGGGACCAAGATCTGCCTTGAGCCCCCATGCAGAACCCTGCCCCAGGCTGAGTGGCATCACCACCACAGGTAGTTCTCGGCTTACGACCACAATAGGGAACCATGCATTTTTTTGTTCATTAGGTGAAGTATTGTGTGATCTTATTGACACATGACGTTTCTATCCTACTTTTGTTCAGAGCTCAGAGTGGGGTACAGATTGCTCCCTGGAACATCAACCCTCTTAGGGAGACTAAGCTGGCCTAGAGTCAATTGGGGAGGGGGGTTCCTTTGGCTAAGAAGGCCTATGCTTACCCCCCCACCCATCTGACCCCTCCTTGCAGAATGGGACAACTCACTGTGGCCAACTCACCAGAACCACTTCGCCGCGGGACATAAAAGTTGAATTAATTTGAGCGGAACCATGGCCGACAATAAAATAAAGTCCATTCAGAAATACAAGTTACAATAATTTTGGCAATAATAAAAATAACTGAAATGGTTAATGCAGAGTTGAATTGAATTCCGTGGCCAGTTGGCAGAGGTACCCAACCTTTTGGGCACCAGGGACCGGTTCCGCGGAGAGGTTTTTCTGTGGACTGGAGGTTGTGTGGTTTGTTGTGTGCTGCCTGCATCTCGTGGATGGGGCTTTGCTTGTTTGTGCAGGGTTGCTGCCATGCTGCGGACAAGTGCTGGTCTATGGCCCAGGGCAGTGGTTCTCAACCTTTTTAATGCCGCGACCCCCAACCGGTCGTAAGTCGAGGACTACTCAACTCGTGCAGCACCGTTTGCAGAATGGGACTTTTGGCGGGCTCAGCAGGGCAGAGACAACCTGGAGAATTCCTATTGGCTTTTGAAAGCCAATAGAATTAGACTCTATTCAAGAGAGTCTATTCTATTGGCTTTCAAAAGCCAATAGAATAAAAGGGAGTAGCACAGCTAAGGAAAAGGGGAAAAAAATGGCTGACTGCGTTGTTTGGCGACCCCCGTGAAATGGTCGTTCGACCCCAAATGGGGTCCCGACCCACAGGTGGAGAACCACTGGCCCACGGGGTTGGGGATCCCTGTCCTAGACTCTCACAGACATTAATCCATCTTCCAAGTTCTACTTTGCCATTAAACCACAAATGTATCCAGGCTTGACTGAACCCCCAAAGTTCCCAAATGGCCGGGTCCCTTCAAACGGGTCCCTTTGTGGGGCTGCCCCAAAGAAGAGGGAGTCAAGCTGTTCTCCAAAGCATCTGAAGGCAGGACAAGAAGCAACGGATGGAAACTAACCAAAGAGAGAAGCAATCTAGAACTAAGGAGAAACTTCCTGACAGTGAGAACAATTCACCAGTGGAACAACCTGCCTCCAGAACCGGCGAGGCTCCAACACTGGAAGTTTTTGAGACCGGACAGCCATTTGTCCGAAATGCTCTAGACTAGGGGTAGGCAACCTTGGCTCTTTTATGACTGGTGGACTTCAACTCCCAGAATTCCTGAGCAAGCATGGAAATCTCTCCCTTTCCCCTCAGCATGGTGTAGGGTTTCCTGCCTGAGCAGGCGGTTGACCTCCAAGGTCCCTTCCAATTTTATTATTATTATGGATCATCGCACAGTCAGCCAGATGTTCAGACTGGATTTGGCATTTTGTCTACCTATCGAGTTCCTTACCCAGGACCTGGGATAGGCAGATGTGGATGTTTGATGATATTATAGATATCGTTGCAGGATGGAAGCAGTTAATAATAATAATAATAATAATAATAATAATAATAAACACCAAAGGATGCTGAGGATTACCTGTGTACTTCCCAGCGAGAGATATGACGGTTCCCTCTTCCCCTGCTCGCCGATGGTACACCAGTTCCCCGCCCAGCGCCAGGCATGGCGTGATGCTCTGCAGATAATGTGCCACTAGGATCCCTGTGGAATGCAGATGGGGGGGGCTGTTTAGCACCGTTTATGTGGAAACCCCCAGCCTCCCCACTGGGCAGCCCTGCCAGGAAAGGCCAGGGATTAAGCCAGAGTCCAGGCTGAACAAAGAGGCTTCTGGAATGACAAGAGGAAGAACCGAGGATGGAGTTTGCTCACCTGAGCCTACTACGATATCGGGGTTCCCTAGCGTGGCGGCCGCGGTGAAATCTGTGCCCCGGTATTCGCCGTCCACTTGCCAGTTCACAAACTTGGCTTGCTGCGTCTGGAAGACAAAGGAGAGGGTAAGCGAGGACTCGTCCGCCTTCGAATATTTGCAGAGAATATTCGTAGCTTTGGGGTTGAGCGGTGGGGTCCTGGCTGCTCTTTGAGCTGAGTGGTTTTCCTGCAGACGTTTCATGACCCAGCTAGGTAACATCATCAGTGCTAGAAGGGAGGAGGAGGAGAACTGTGGGGTCCTTGCTGCTCTCTGAGCTGGGTGGTTTCCTTGCAGATGTTTCATGACCCAGCTAGGTAACATCATCAGTGCTAAAAGGGAGGAGGAGGAGGAGGATGGGAGGAGGACAACTGTGGGGTCCTTGCTGCTCTCTGAGCTGGGTGGTCTTCTTGCAGACGTTTCATGACCCAGCTAGGTAACATCATCAATGCTAGAAGGGAGTGGGTTTGCACAGGAAGAACGGGAGGAGGAGGATGGTGGGGTCCTTGGTGCTCTCTGAGCTTGGCGGTTTTCTTGCAGACCTTTCATGACCCAACTAGGGAACATCATCAGTGCTAGAAGGGAGGGGGGTTTGCAAAGAGGAGGAGAACTGTGGGCTCCTTAATACTCTCTGAGCTTGGTATTTTCTTGCAGACCTTTCATGACCCAACTAGGTAACATCATCAGTGCTAGAAGGGAGGGGGGTTTGTGGAGTGGAGGAAGACGATGATGTGACCACGACAACGGGATCCTTGACGTTTTCTGAACTTGGTTGTTTTCTTGCAGATGTTTCTTGGCCAAACTAAGTTGTAGCATCAGTGCTAGAGGGGAGTGGGGTTTTTAAAGGAAGAGGACAAGGCGGAGGAGGATGTTGGGGTCCCTGGCGCTCTCTGAGCTTCGCTGCTTTCTTGCAGACGTTTCATGACCCAACTAGGTAACATTATAATTTCTAGAAGGGAGAGGAAGTTTGGTAGTTCTTCGATTGGGGTATTGTTTACGGCGTGACTGTCGGTCTTTTGTAAACAACATTTACATACCATTCAAAAGAAACCATCAAAAAAAAGCCCCAAAGGAAGCAAAAAGACCACAACACCTCCTGGCCAGCAATCAACACCCAGATAAGCAGAGATTAATACCAAGGTTAATACTAAGCCAACCGTCAAGCAGTAAACAATAATCCAATCAAGGAATGACTAACTCAAACAATCAAAGAGTAGACAACGGAGGAACCAAGGAAACACCAAGAAAACTTCCCCCACAGGGCAAACCACTAGTATATAAACAGAGGAAAAACACCATTCCCTCCTAGCACTGATGATGTTAACTAGTTGGGCCATGAAATGTCTGCAAGAAAACAACCAAGCTCAGAGAGCACCAAGGACCCAACAACCCCCCCCTTTCTTCCTCCTTCGCAAGCGCCATTCCCTTCTAGTACTGATGATGTTAGCTAGCTGGGTAATGAAACGTCTGCAAGAAAACCACCAAACTCAGAGAACACCAAGGACCCCAGTCTTCCTCCTCCCCCTCCTCCCTTCTAGCACTTATGATGTTAGCTAGCTGGGTAATGAAACGTCTGCAAGAAAACAACCCAGCTCAGAGAGCACCAAGAGGCTCACATTTTAATACTTGTTTTTAAGCTTGTTGCAACTGGGGATCTAGCAAAGGGGGTCCCCTGTACCAAAAGGTGGCACCCCATTGTTAAGGAAGGAGAATCCACCTGACAGAAGCATATAATTCAGCCTGGGCTGAAGCCCTGCCATAAAACTGCTACCCCACCCGTCTCCAATTCAAGAAGCATGCAGAGGAAAAACGTTTGCGGCTTCAGAAAAAAATTCTAACATATTTAGCTCAAACGTGCAAATGAATAAATTTAGTAGGCTTCACAGCTAGCTTTGCATTCAGGGGAATATTCAAAATGGCAAACAGCTAGAGATTTTTTTAAAAGTGCCATCAAAATGCAACCATGTAATCAAAGGCAAAGACAAGGCAAATATCAAGTACTGACACACCAACTCCGGATAAACGTTAAACATCCTTATTTGGAAGACACTCAGAATTGACCAGCAGGGGGCGCCAATTAGATATCTTCCAATAAATATTTAGACACAATTACAAATGTACACTGCTATTCCCAAAAGTGTTTTGGAAATGGAAGGTGGCACCTGTCTACAACTCAAAGCAATACACAATCCACTCCCTGTGACTTAGAAGGGACAGATTCAATGTTAAGTCAGCATATCTGGAAGAAACAACTGTGGCTAAATTTTACAGGGAATGAAGTGGAATAGAATAGTGGAATGGAATGGAATGGAATAGAATAATGGATTGAAGAATAGAATAGAATAGAATAGGAATAGGAATAGAACAGAACAGAATAGAAAATAGAATAGAAAATAGAATACAAAACAGAATAGAATATAGAATAGAATAGTGGGTTGAAGAATAGAATATAATGGATTGAAGAATAGAATAGAATAGAATAGAATAGAATAGAATAGAATAGAATAATGGAATGGAAGAATAGAATAGAATAAGAATAGGATGGAATGGAATGGAATAGAATAATGGAATGGAGGAATAGAATAGAATAGAATAGAAAAGAAAAGAAAATAGAATAGAAAACAGAATAGAATATAGAATAGAATAGAATAATGAATTGAAGAATAGAATATAATGGATTGAAGAATAGAATAGAAAATAGAATAGAATAATGGAATGGAGTAGAAGAATAGAATAGAATTAGAATTAGAATAGAATAGTTGGAAGGGACCTTGGAGGTCTTCTAGTCTAACCCCCTGCTCAGGCAGGAGAACATATTCCATTTCAGACAAATGGGTATCCAGTCTCTTCTTTAAAAAGTCCAATGTTGGAGCATTCACAACTTCTGGAGACAGGTTGTTCCACTGGTTAATTGTTCTAACTGTCAGGGGAGGGGGGGGGAACTGGTGTCAGCCTCAAAGACACATACCTGAAAAGCCACCTTTGACCGAATTTTATTTGTGAGCTGGTGGATAATCTGTGCATTAAGGCTGCCGCTGTTGTCCATGTCACCGACCAGCACTGGGAAGGCCTGAGAGAAAGAAGCAGCGTATTTGAACAGTAGAATTAGAAAGGACCTCAGCAGTCTTCTAGTCCTCAAGGTCCCCATCTTATATTGATATTTTTTTGTAATCCGAAAGCATCTGTAGATAGTTCTCAACTTGCAACCAACTGTTTGACGTTACAATAGCACGGAAAAAAAAGGGACTCACAACCAACACAAGCATTCCCACAGTCGCGGGACCAAAATTCAGGCGGCTGGCAAATGGCGTGTCTTGTCACATGATCGCCGTTTGGGAGCTTCCCAGCCTGCCCGCCACAAGCAAGCAAAGTCCATGGGGGAAGCTGGTTTCGCTTAAAAACCATGCGATTCGCTGAACGACCGGCTCGCTTAGCAATGAAAGGTCTGATCCCAACTGTGGCTGCAAGTCAAGGACAACCTGTGCCTCAAAAGCACATGAGTTACGCATTTGTTTTATAATTTCATTAAGTAATAATATATTGGGAAATGATCACCTCCGTGACCTATGAAGCCTCTTCCAGGCTGTCTCTGTATTTTACCATTTGTACTTTACCTGCGTGCTCTTTTATGTAAAAAGGATCTGTGGAAGATTGCCATACAATCTGATACTGCCTCTAAAGCAGCGGTTCTCAACCTGTGGGTCGGGACCCCATTTGGGGTCAAACGACCATTTCACGGGGGTCGCCAAACAATGCAGTCTGCCATTTTTTCCCCCTTTTCCTTAGCTGTGTTACTCCCTTTTATTCTATTGGCTTTTGAAAGCCAATAGAATAGACTCTCTTGAATAGAGTCTAATTCTATTGGCTTTCAAAAGCCAATAGGAATTGTCCAGGCTGTCTCTGCCCTGCTGAGCACGCCAAAAGTCCCATTCTGCAAACGGTGCTGCACCAGTTGAGTAGTCCTTGACTTACGACCGGTTGAGTAGTCCTCGACTTACGACTGGTTGGGGGTCGCGGCATTAAAAAGGTTGAGAACCACTGCTCTAAAGTTTCACAGACTGTCAGAAGGGAACTCAGAGGTCATCTAGCTCAACCAGATACTCAGTGCAGGGTCTGCTAAGGCTGTTTGTTGTTTGGCTAATGACCCACCTAGCCCCCTAGCAGTATTTCTCAACCATGACCACTTTAAGAGGTGTGGACTTTAACTCCCAGAATTCCCCAGCCAGTTGAAGTCTACCCCTCTTAAAGTGTCCATGGTTGAGAAACAGTGTTCTAAAACCACAAATGAACAGCTCACACTGGAAAAAAAGAGAGATCTTAGCACAAGGGGAAACAGACATCCAACTAAGATACTATTCAAGAGGTATCTAAGCAGCATAAGTCCCATCCTGATTACAGTAGTGACCAAAATTGTGGAAACCTTTTGGGAAAAGTGTACAGCAGAAATGCCACCTTTGGTTAAGTTTCCACCCATTTTACTTCTAATTTCTTTATAACTGTAGCCTTGTTCACTTAATAATACTATTTTACATCGCTTTCTGGGCAACCAGTCAACTCTTTGCACCATGACTTTAATTTTATTACGTTTTACAAGCTCACTCAATGAAAGAACATCAAAAAACCTAACCAACTTGATAGCCATCCCATAACGCACTGACAAATGTCTTGCTCTCAGCTTCAATACAGGACATCAATAACTGAATCCTACCGTGATCTGATTGGCTCATGGCCAAAACAAGATGACACCCGATTGGCTCTCTAAACACTCATGCTTATTGGCTACAATCAGATAAAGGAAAGCTACCTGATCTCAACCTAAGCAAGTTGTGCTTCCTTTTTCTGGTTATTTGACTATAACTTTTCATAGAATACAGTACAGATAATTGAACAAACTTTGTTGCATTACGTTCTTGATTAAATTATCTTTCCATTGATATATACCTTTATGGTACTACTCCAAAAAAAAAGTGGTGTTATTAGCCATCCAGCCTCAAAAATACACTTTTTCCCAAAAGGTTTCCACAATTTTGGCCACTGCTGTAGGTACTGTATAAACCTACCTCTGTGGGGCTTAGCTGCTTTGTCCCGACATACGTAGCCCCAAAGTGGTAATTGGAATCGCCGACTGTGCTGAGCGCCACTGTATGGTTGACCTGAAGAAAGAAACAGGGCGAATCTTCAGGTCAGAAAAGGACATCTAGAAGCAGGTGTCCAGGCAGACATGCACTAGCCAAGGCGAGAAAGAAACACCACCAGGTGATCACACAGCAAGATCCTTGAAAACTAAGCGTGCTTGTGAACTAAGCTAAGGCACCCAAAAGGAGCAGCATAGAAGACCCTGGAGAAACATACTGGAAAAATGAGACTCGCTCCATCAGCGTCACCACAGAGACGTAGCAGTGTCTACATCAGAGCTGGCCCATTCCTTTGTGACTTGTATCCCCAAAAAAGCGGTGAAGTGTAAAATAAGTTAAAATAGGGGGGGGGGGGAGAGACAGGGAGTGTCTGCCATCTGAGACTGAATAGACCCTCACCTCTATTTTGAACTCACTGGTGACGTGGGAATACTTACTTCAGAGTAAGCCACCCTAAACTCACTGGTTTTCCAGTAAAACGTGCACAGGAGCCCACCTGCACGTTATTCCCCGTTGTGCAGTGAAAAAGTGGAACCCTGAAAGCAGAAACGGGCAATGCATGGCCCTCCAGAGGTGGACTACAAAGCCTATCATCCCCCTCCCCTGCTCGTGCTGGCTATAGAGCTGATAAGAGGTAAAAATAATATACCAGCTGGCGCTGAATGAATGAATATACCAACCGGCGGTTAATATATTAACCTTTATTTGCCTCGCTCTGTTTTTGTTCTTTTGAATTTTGCTGGCCGTTCATGGAATAAAAGTTACTGATTAATGAACTGAAGGCCAAAAGCCTGGATGGAAGGGAAGTACTGAGGAGGAAGCAGGGAATTTTGATGACAATTAAGAATGCGGCATTTTTGTTGGGATTGTCGATTGCCGGCAGACAATTGTCAAGGAAAGCAAGCCATTAAAAAAGCCGAATGAATATAATGGAAATAATTTAGTCTTTCCTCCAAGCATGGGATCCACGCCCCTCCAGATCTTTGCAACATCTGCCAAGCCATTGGATTGCTGGGCGGCAGAACTGAGCATCTGGAGGGCTACAGCTGGCCCACTCTAGAGCTGACTTGCCAAGCCAGCGAAGCGGCCCAGTCACTCTTACCTGAAAATGGTTGCTGAGACCTTTGTTTACTGTTAATTTCACCCCCTCCATTTGGATCGGAAACAATTCTGCAACGGAAAGGAATGAAGAGGGAGACTGCTGTCAGTGGTGTCTCCTGCTGAGCCCCTTTCCTTCCACAAAACCAGGTATTGGTTAAAACCAGAGAAAAGGAGGATTAGTGGAAACTGGAGAATTGATGAATTGCCTACACCAGGGGTAGGCTACCTTGGCTCTTTTATGACTGGTGGACTTCAACTCCCAGAATTCCTGAGCCAGCATGGCTCAGCTTGGAAACCTCTCCCTTTCCCCTCAGCGTGGCTGGCTCAGGAATTCTGGGAGTTGAAGTCCATGAGTCATAAAAGAGCCAAGGTGGCCTACCCCTGCCCAAATGCCTGAATTTTGATCACGTGACCGTGAGGAAAAAGCATTTAAATATTTAAACCAGGGGTCTTCAAACTTGGCTCTTTTATGACTCGTGGACTTCAACTCCCAGAATTCCCGAGTCAGCATGGGGAAAACTGGCCCCTTCATGACTTGTGGACTTCAACTCCCAGAATTCCTGAGCCAGCGTGGAAACCTCTCCCTTTGCCCTCAGCACGGCTGGCTCAGGAATTCTGGGAGTTGAAGTCCTCGAGTCATAAAAGAGCCAAGGTTGCCTTCCCCTGCCCTACACTATATAGAGATAGTCCTCAACTTACAACAACAACTGGAACCAGAATTTCTGTTCCTAAGGCAGGCAGGAGTCTGGGAGTTGGAGTCCACCCCTCTTAAGTTGGCTGAGATTCCAGCTGAAAATCTGGAACCTTTCAACACTCTGTTCTTAAATTCTATTAACAATCAAGCAGGGTCCAGTAGTCCTCGGAGTATCCGTTTCCTCACCTGGGTGACCTCAAAAGACTGTGGTTTTCTTCTCCAGCTTTGTAAGAAGTGTTAAGAACTTCACAAAGCAGATCAACCTTCTGCTCTTCAGATGTGTGGACATCAACTCCCCTACTTCTTAATCACGGTTGCCACTGCCGAGAACTCTGGGAGTAGAGATCCATACATCTGGATGAAGTAAGCGAGGTTGTGGCTGATACAGTCGGTCTACGGAGATTCTCAGTCCTCCAGATCACGATTGTCCCAACTGGAGACAACTGGACTTTCTTATTTTTCTGGCTTCTCATCCAAGAAGCTTCTTCAGCTCTGACTGGATGGTGGGGAACGGAAGGATTTATATTCCTTGCAGACAGCTAGATATTTGCATACTTCAAAGCAGTGGTGGCGAATCTATGGCACGGGTGCCAGAGGCGGCACTCGGAGCCCTCTCTGTGGGCACACATGCCATCGCCCCAGCCCTGCCTCCCCCCTCAGCCCCTTTCTCATCAGCAGCCCCCCCCAGAGGAGAGTCACCCCCGGGTGCCGCCCGGGCAGAGCAGCGCAGCCAAACACATGACAGCTGGGCAGTTGATGCTGTGGGGTGCAGGAGGAGGGCGTGGCCACCATGGCGCTGCAGGGCCACCTGGGTGATCTGCGGCAAGCCGTGGATGGCCCCTGAGAGCGGGCAGGGTGAGGGTGGAGCAGGGCGGGGGTGGGAGGGTGAAGCGGGGGCAGGCTGGGGGCGGGGCAGTTTTTGGGCACTCAGTCTCTAAAAGGTTCACCATCACTGCTTTAAAGAGTTGTTGAGGCCACCTGGAGGTGTGTGTGTGTGTCCTCAGGTGTGTCACCTGAGTAGTGCAAATGGGTGTGAAGGCTTCTGAAAGGACTGTGTTATAGACTGGAGATAAATGGTGTCGGATCCCTCCCCCTTTCTTGAAAGAGGGCTGTTCAACTTTGACACAAACAGCCTCTTTGACCCTCTGTCCTCTCTGTCCAAAATGGGAACTTTGCTGTCTTCCAAAGAGTGACCTTGAGGACACAGACAAACCTCCAAGTGGCCTCAACGACTCTCTAAAAGGATGCAAATGACCAGCTGTCTGCAAGGAATATAAAATCCTTCCATTCCTCACTATCCAGTCAGAGCTGAAGAAGCTTCTTGGATGAGAAATAAAATGTCTTCAAAGAAAAATAAGAAAGTCCAGTTGCCTCCTGAAGAAAAAAGCACCTTTGGGACGTTGATGCAGCGGTCGCACTGCACGAGGCAGGAATGCAACTTACCTTTGCATTTACGATGACATTCCTCAAAAGTGCCAGGGTTAGGAAGCTGGTCGCATTTTTCTTCTGCGCTGCGATCTTGCACAGGGGGGGGCAGTCCGGTGACAGGAGGCATGGAGAAACCCGGTGGCACCGCTACTAAGCCTGGCACTGTCGGAGGGGGTACCGGAGAGCTGGCAGCCAGGACGTTGCCCATGGTGCAAACTAGACAGCAGGAAAAGAGCTGCTTATTACACGGCAGAGGGTTCAAGCCTTCAGAAGTGCCACTTCGCGCCTTCCACAACAATGGGAGGGTCTCAAACGGCAGTCCTTTTTCGGCTCAAACGCTTCGTGCAAAACAACGGAGCACAGACTGGCTGGCGAACAGAAAGCATTTCAAGACCGTCCCTTCCTTCACTCTTGCGTGCAAAGCAAATTGCAACGCTCCTGTCTTTCTACTAAGACAGGGCTTTTCAACCTTTTCACCCATTGTACCACTTTTAGGATACGGCAACATCCGAGGACCACCAGTCACCTAGCAAGGTGTCAAAAACTTGATGATCAAACAAAAAAAAAAAAAGGAAAAAAGTGATAAAGTACAGGTAGTCCTCGACTTACAACAGTTCGCTTAGTGACTGTTTGAAGTTACAATGGCACTGAAAAAAGTGCCCCCCGAGCCACAGCCGAGCAAGACACCTGCCTGCCCGCCCGGCAGCGCTCTTCCTCCTGTCCGAGGTTTTCATTGTTGTGACCATTTCTGTTGAGGATTGGCAGTGGGGGTGGGGTGGGGGGTGTTTGGTTTTTATTCCCCCCCGTCTGCTGGGTGGTTGCAGCAGGTTTTGGCCACTTCACATGACCCTGGGACACTGTGACCGTCATAAATATGAATCAGTTGCCAAGCATCTGAATGTAAATCACAAGACCATGGAGATGCTGCAACAATCCAGCTGATCGGCGCTTCTTCTGGGCTCAGCAGGAGCGCCAGGATCAGTGCTGCTTTCCAGCTGATTGGTGCTTCTTCAGGGCTCAGCAGAAGCACCAGGATCAGCACTGAGCTCCAGCTGGAGCCTGGCGCTGATCCTGGCGCTTCCACTGAGCCCTGACAGCCCAGAAATGCCGATCAGCTGGAAAGCGGCACTGATCGTGGTGCTTCCGCTGAGCCCTGACAGCCCTGCAGCTCCAACCATCTCTCGCTCAGCCTTGTGCGGTGCTGCCATCAGTTCAGCTCATTCCCCCCCCCCACTACCACTTTTCTAGGATGATCGTATACCACCTGCCAGGTGCCAATGTACCAAGGGTGGTACCCGTACCACTGGTTGAAAAGTCCTGGACTAAGAGACAGGATGCTGCACTATTCCCAATTTTGCATCAACCCAGCAAAAAAAAAAAAAAAAGGGGGGGGGGTTGCTTCTACTGAACATTCAGAAGAAACGGGGCTGCCAATTCAGACAGGGCTGTCAGTCACCTAACTTATCTTCTTATGAGTTTGAGATCCTTCATGCCAGGGAGGCTGCTTGTTCTTTCAACTTTGTTTCTGTGGGTAGGAGAGAAGCAACCTGGAATTAAAGAATTAATGTCCTAACCGTTAGGACAATTAAGCAGTGGAAGGGCGTTGCCTTCAGAAGTGGTGGGTGCTTCATCACTGGAGGTTTTTAAGACAAGACTGGACAGACATCCGTCTGAAATAATATAGGGATTGGACTAGATGACCTCCAAGGTCCCTTCCAACTCTGCTATTCTGTAAATTACGATTAGGCTCCCAGTTTGGGTCTTGCCCTTTATTGCAGTTCGGCTGCTAGTCAGTAATTTGCAGCTTTTTCACAGAGTCCAAGCACTTTGATTAATTGATATCACTCTGCACGCACATGCACGCACGCATGCGCGCGCACACACACACATTTACCCAGAAATAAAGATGAAGGAACAAACAGCATCTCTGGCATGAAGGATCACAAACTCAAAACAGGATAGGTTAGTTGCTCCATCACTGGAGGTTTTTAAGAAGAGATTGAACAAGCACCTGTCTGAAAGGGTCTAGGGCAGTGGTTCTCAACCATTTTAATGCCGCGACACCAACCGGTCATAAGTCGAGGACTACTCAACCGGTCGTAAGTCGAGGACTACTCAACTGGTGCAGCACCGTTTGCAGAATGGGACTTTTGGCGGGCTCAGCAGGGCAGAGACAGCCTGGACAATTCCTATTGGCTTTTGAAAGCCAATAGAATTAGACTCTATTCAAGAGAGTCTATTCTATTGGCTTTCAAAAGCCAATAGAATAAAAGGGAGTAGCACAGCTAAGGAAAAGGGGGGGGGGGAAATGGTGGACTGCGTTGTTTGGCGACCCCCGTGAAATGGTCGTTCGACCCCAAATGGGGTCCCGACCCACAGGTTGAGAACCACTGGTTTAGAGTGTCCTGCCTGAGCAGGGGGCTGGACTAGAAGACCTCCAAGGTCCCTTCCAGCTCTATTCTGGCTGAAATGGTCTAGGGCAGTGGTGGCGAACCTATAGCACGTGTGCCAGAGGTGGCACTCAGAGCCTTCTCTGTTGGCACACTCGCCACCCTCACCAGCAGCGGGTGCATCGGGCCACCACTGTCGCCCGGAGCAGGAGCCCCACCCAGCACAAAGGAGGCGAAGTGGCTGACTAGCAAGCTGGAGTAGAGGTGCCTGCATGATACTCACTAGCCCTGCCCCATTCTTGCGTGGTGCAGCGCCTTGCAGCACGGTGGCCCATTTTTGCATCCCCGGTTTTTGCGTGCCAGAGGCGGCGCTCAGAGGTGACTCCTTGCCCCCCCCCATGAAGGCACCACAATGCTGATGTGACTCTGGCACTTTGCGATAAATAAGTGGGTTTTGGGTTGCGGTTTGGGCACTTGGTCTCTAAAAGGTTCGCCATCACTGGTTAGTCTCCTGCTTGAGCAGGGGGCTGGACTAGAAGACCTCCGAGGTCCCTTCCAGCTCTATCCTGATTGACTGAAATGGTCTAGGGTCTGCTGACTGAGCAGGGGGCTGGACTAGAAGACCTCCGAGGTCCCCTCCAGCTCTATCCTGATTGACTGAAATGGTCTAGGGTCTGCTGACTGAGCAGGGGGCTGGACTAGAAGACCTCCGAGGTCCCCTCCAGCTCTATCCTGATTGACTGAAATGGTCTAGGCGGGTCTGCTGACTGAGCAGGGGGCTGGACTAGAAGACCTCCGAGGTCCCCTCCAGCTCTCTCCTGATTGACTGAAATGGTCTAGGGTGTCCTGTCTGAGCAGGGGGCTGGACTAGAAGACCTCCGAGGTCCCTTCCAGCTCTTATCCTGATTGACTGAAATGGTCTAGGGTGTCCTGTCTGAGCAGGGGGCTGGACTAGAAGACCTCCGAGGTCCCCTCCAGCTCTATCCTGATTGACTGAAATGGTCTAGGGTGTCCTGTCTGAGCAGGGGGCTGGACTAGAAGACCTCCGAGGTCCCCCCCCCAGCTCTATTCTGATTGACGATCCCTCCTTTGCTTTGCATGCATATTGGGGGCTTCTGCCCCGGAGACCAACTCCTTGTGGGCCTCATCCTCGCCCTGGGCCGAAGAAAGGGTCTATATTCTATTCTATTCCTTCAAAAGCTTTTTAAAAAAGCAGATTTCCTGCTCCGCTCCCACGGATTGCGCAAAGGGCGGCGGGGAAGAGCAGCCTCCGCCTGGGCGAGCGAAGGGCTCCACGGACCAGGCGGAGGGAGGCGATGCCCAGGCTCGGTGGGCCAAAAGGAGAAGAGCGGATTTCCCGGCCGGATTCTGCGCAGAGGCCGCCAGTTGCTGACCCCCGGCTGCGGGGCGGGCTCAAGCAGGAGGAACCAAGGCTTTCCCGCCCGGCTCGGTCGGCTCCTCCCTGCTGCCCGAGGCGCTTCCTGCTCCCTTCCCGGCCCCGGGGCTCATTTTGGCTTCCTCCGCCCGCCGCTCCGCCCGGTCCTGCGGGCTCCTCGGCCCCCCGCCCGACCGTCCCCGGTCCTCCGCCCTCCCCCGTCCAGGCCGGGCCCTCCCCGCAGGCTCGCCCGCCCGGGCCTCCCTCCCTCCCTCCCTCCCGGTGCTTCCCCACTCACGCGGCGGCGGCGGGAGCAGCGGCAACGAGGGCTGGAGCCGGGAGACACCCGAACACGCTTGCTCTCAGGCGCCGCCCCTCTGGCGCCGCCATTGGCCCGGGAGGCTCCCAGCCCCGCCCCTGCCCAGCCTGGAATCGACGCTACTGGCTGGCCTCCCGTCCAGCCGCGCCCCTTTCCCGGGACCATGCAGCCCTCATGGAGGTTAGGCCTCTCCGATGTCCCACCGTTTCCTTTCCCCCGACGCGGGCTTCCTATTGGCTGCCTGTTGGGGCGTCACGCGCCGCGAGGCTGTCTCGATTGGGCAGGTGGTGGAATAAATCTGGTTCCGCTCCGAGGATTGGTCGCGCCGTTTTCTTCCTGGAGGCCCCTGGGCTGCGTTTTCATTGGTCGCTTCACACACGGAGGGGAATTTGGGGCGCCATTCGGAGCTTCGCCTCGGAAAGAGGGCGGGGCTGAAGAAACAAGGTCAGCGGTGAAGAGCGGGCGCAAGGTCAGGTGGCTATCCCGAGATGCAGCGCGGCCAACACTGAGTTTCTGGTCTAGAGGCGCCCGCGGAAACCATAGAGAGGTGGGTTGATCACCCTTCCGGCCCCGCCCCCAACGGTTTCCATGGAAACCCAATTAGACTGTTTCTAGGCTCCTCCAGGGAGTCCTTTGGAGGAGTATCCAGGCTAAATATGCTTTTCTTTAGGGAATAATTTCTCTCCCGTCAATTTGATTGCAGCAGCTCTCAGATTTGCAACCACACGTGCAGCATGGGACTTTCACGGGGTCCTTCCACGCTATTTTCACTGCACCCCAGAAAATGATGGTTTCTAAGCCCCCCCCCTTTGGGAGAGGGGAAAATCTTATCTAGTGCACCCTATCCTGGGGGTAAAGCCATCACTCTCAAGCCATCCTCATGCTGGTCTTCTCTAGGAGGACTACAACTCCCATCACTCTCAACCAACCTGATCTTTAGAACTAGCTGTCCCAGCATGCTGGGAAAGCATCTGGACAGGAAAGGTTGCACTCTTAAAAGCTGAAATGTGATATTCTGGTTCCTTGGGCCATAGGAACCAAAATGGGCTTGCAAGAAGATGCAAAAATTTGAAGCCTCTCCTTTGCAAAGTGTTGGAAGATCGACCAGCCACGTTTTCTTGCAAACTGGGTTTGTCTCTAGTCTAGTGAAAGGAAGGACTAGGGGCGACATGACAGCAGTGTTTCAGTATTTGAGGGGCTGCCCCAAAGAAGAGGGAGTCAAGCTATTCTCCAAAGTGCCGGAAGGCAGGACAAGAAACAACGTATGGAAACTAATCAAGGAGAGAAGCAACCTAGAACTAAGGAGAAATTTTCTGACAGAACAATTAACCAGTGGAACAACTTTTAAGAAGAGAGTGGGCAACCATTTGTCTGAAATGCTATAGGGCCTCCGGCCTGAGCAGAGGGTTGGACTAGATGACCTCCAAGGTCCCTTCCAACTCTTTTATTCTGTTATTGTGCACATGAGTTCCTGTTCCAAAATATGCACCTACTTCTGACATTGTTTCTTGCATTTGTGGGTTTGCAATATAATAATTTCCCCAAGCTTAGAACATATTCGCATTTATTCTGCTATTCTTTCTCTGAGGTTTTTCCTAAATCCTCCTAAAGTATCAGATTACAAATACAATGAGCATTGTGGAATTGGGATCCCAGATCTGGAAGGCATGAAGTTTGGAAAGACTTACAAACCTAACAAGTGGTCATTGTGTTGCCTTTCCCCATCGACAGAACACACTGTGGCAGCCACATAGATTTAGAAAAATTTATTAATTTTTTTAAACAAACATCCATCCAGAGTATAAAATTTTCCCTCTGTGTCCCTGCTGAAATTAAACCCCTCAGGTGTGTCAGATCGAGGCACATAAAAGATAGCAGGGGGGGGGGGAAGGCATAGTGTGCTTGTGTGCGACAATTGTGCCCTCCTGTTGACTCAGATTCAGGTCTTGTTAGCAGGATAGGTGAGGAACAGCTATGACAACATAATCATAAACACAATTAAAAAAAAAATCCCAGTGCCAATTGGTACCCGCATCTGGAAAAAAAAAACAGCAGCAGTGGCAGAGCGTAAGAAGACTTTGCCTTGGAATGCTAAATCAATTCGTTTAAGTAACAACGTAGTTTTGAAAACACCCAAGTGAAGAACAGCAATGGGGGGGGGGGAAAAAACCTTTCACATTTTCAGGTCAAGAGCCCAAAAGTATTAGGGTACTAATGGACCCTAAACGGAACAGAACCAAGATCACAAAATCACAATTCAAGTAACAATCGGAGCCTGTGTCAGAATGCTAAGAAAAGAAAAGAACAAAGGCAGGAGCAATTTGGCACACCAATTTTACTCCTCCAAGAGCAAAGCTCTTCGTTTAGAAATTTGGAAGGCTCCCCTCTGGATAGGGAACTGCAGTGAGGGAGCATCCAAGCCAGAGTCCCCAACTCACAAGTGTCCGAGTACAAAATCCCATGATTTTGGGGGAGTGTTTGTGCAATATACAGGCAACTTTACTACCTGGTTAATTCCCAAAGATCTGGGGAGTGTATATGCTGGTGCCTCCTTTTTCAAAGCTGCATCTTTGAGGTAAGCAGAGTTTTCTCGTGCCTTTAGCCTATTCACAAGCCAAACCTCTCCGTGCAATGCAGAGGAATTGGGGACAGGGTTAATAAGGGGTCTTATAAAACAATTTCTGCATGATTCATTTCAGAATGCCATCAAGGCATCTGTTTCCCTAGTTAGTTTGAAGCTGGAAAGGCGAATTTTAGCCCAATCTTTGTACCTGGCCCTAGATGGGCTTTCTGCATATGATTTTTTTTTTAAAAAAATATTTTTTGAAGGGTTGAAGAGTTAGGTTCAATTGAGCCATCTTTTACACAGATGGAGGGCAAAAAAAAACATCATGCCCATAGCATCACTGCAAGTTTTAAATATGCTTTGCTCTCAACTATATCAGAGCATCACAGTCCAAAAATAATTTAGACTGGCTGACGTGAATCTTTCAACAAGATTGCCTCAAGCATCACGGTAGGAGATAAATTCTGGGGAAGAGGGGAGACCCACATGGAGGTGAAGGTGTGAGAGAGAGAGACAGAGAGAGAGAGAGGAAGAGAGAGAGAGGAAGAGAGAGAGGGAGAGGAAGAGAAAGAGAGGAAGAGAGACAGAGAGACACAGAGGAAGAGAGAGAGAGGAAGAGAGAGAGGGAGAGGAAGAGAAAGAGAGGAAGAGAGAGGGAAAGAGAGAGAGAGAGGAAGAGAGATAGGAAGAGAAAGAGAGGAAGAGAGACAGACAGAGGGAGAGAGAGAGAGGAAGAGAGACAGAGAGACACAGAGGAAGAGAGAGAGAGGGAGAGAGAGAGGAAGAGAGAGAGAGAGGAAGAGGAAGAGAGACAGAGAGAGACACAGGAAGAGAGGGAGAGAGGGAGAGAGAGAGGGAGAGAGCTTCCACTTCACTGTAAACAGATTCACAAGCATTCAATTACATTCCCCGGAGGGCAATACCCTTGTGGCTTCAGAAGCAGCACAGGCCGGTTGGAAGATCTACTAGATCTTGGCATTGAAGCCCTCTGAAGAAAGATCTGGAGCTGAAAGTCCAAGAAGTCAAGAGCGCAGATTTGGCAAACGACTGGAAAGCCGATGGCTGAGGAAGAAATACTGGGTTTTGGCTGGATTGAAGTGGAAGGCACAAAGTGGTGAGACCCTTTGAGCAAGATGTGGTCTTGGCCACCTAAGGCACTTGTGAAAGGTCCAGGAAATGGAGCTGTGTACCTATGATTGAAAAGAAGCAGCTTCTCTCCAGGATATCGTTTTAGCAGCATCCCTTTTTTTTTTTTTGGACTGTGATTGTGAGTTTAGCCTGTAGGTTTAGACATACATAGCTCTGGACATCACAAAGGCCTTATCGGTGGGGAGGGACGCCAAAGCCTCCTCGTCTTCCGTAGCCGCAAAAGACAGAGCGTCGTAAATGGGGTTGATCTGGTCCAAATATTCATCTTCCAGACTAGGGCCTGCCTCGCCTGCCGTCTCTCGTTCCTCCAGCGTCGGGAGTTCGTGGTATCGTGGCATCTCCTGCGGAAGGGGCAGAGTATGGGCACAGAGAGAGGGGGGGGAGGCATTCATTAACTGGGACTTTAATGCAGTCCCGCTAACGACGGGCTGCAGAGCAGGCTTGCTTTTGGTAGCGCTCCGAAGCTGAAGTGCGCAGAGGCTGCGTTCACACAATATTACCTGACCTTACATTTATTTATTTCTTAAGATTTTTTTTTTTGAATCTCACCTTTATGATTTTATAAGTAACTCAAGGCGACGGAAATACCAAACACCCCTTTTTTCCTTCTCCTTTCCCCCCCTCACAATAACAGCCCTGTGAGGTGGTTGGGCTGAGGCAGAGGGACTGTCCCCCTAGCCAGCTTTGATGGGTAAGACAGAGCTAGAACTCACAGCCTCCTGGTGATTGTCCCAAAAACACCCGGTTGGTTTTCATTCCTAAAGAAGGACTAGACTTCATCGTCTCCTGGTGATTGGCCCAAAGTCACCCACAGCTGGCTTTCAGGCCTAAGGTGGGACTAGAACTCACCGGCACCTGGTTTCCAGGCCAGCACCTTCCCCAACTCCCAGAAGACCCTATGTCCAACCTGACTGTACTTGGCCTGGTTCACACAACCTCCTAAGACAGCGGTTCTCAACCTGTGGGTCGGGACCCCATTTGGGGTCGAACGACCATTTCACGGGGGTCGCCAAACAACGCAGTCCGCCATTTTCCCCTCCTTTTCCTTAGCTGTGCTCCTCCCTTTTCTTCTATTGGCTTTAGAAAGCCAATAGAATAGACTCTCTTGAATAGAGTCTAATTCTATTGGCTTTCAAAAGCCAACAGGAATTGTCCAGGCTGTCTCTGCTCTGCTGAGCCCGCCAAAAGTCCCATTCTGTAAACGGTGCTGCACCAGTTGAGTAGTCCTCGACTTACGACCGGTTGAGTAGTCCTCGACTTACGACCGGTTGGGGGTCGCGGCATTAAAAAGGTTGAGAACCACTGTCCTAAGACAATGGCAGAGGTGTCACCACTGCTGAACCACAAGATATCCAATTATAGTGTGTTGTGTGAACCCAGCCAGTGGCCAGGCCCAAACTGCAGAAGGCAAAATTATCCTG